ATCCTTGAAATATGGCGTAGCCCTAAACAATCTTGCGCCATCATGGAGATACTTGAGATCCACATTATAAACATTCAAGCTATCTGGATTATCCAAAGGGAACTTTTGGGAGTCTTTTTGCCCTAGGGGTTTGGTTTTTCGGTAAGAAGGGAAAAACTCATTCAAAGTGGAATAGTTTAAACCAGAGAGGGATAGAGGTCCGGACATGGCAAGCGGTTTATCCGCGACAGTAACGGGTATGATTACCTAGGATTCGTAGATGTGGTGCTTCTCCTCCAGTAGAGGCTCTCGCACGAGTTGTTGATTCTTCACCACCTTCGGTCCACTCAGAGTAGCAAAAGGGGGAAGGGTGGAAGAAGAAGTTTGTTGATGAGACTGGGATTTTTGTTTCTGGGATCTTAGCTCAGCCATGATGAATGTTGGGGGAATGTTATTGGGAGATAAAACGGTGAGAAGAAGAGATGAGGCAAATGCTGTAAAAAGGGTTTGAAGAAGAAAAAGTAAAAGACGTTCTGAAATTAATTTATAAGTAAAAAGGGGAAATTCAAGAGTTTTCATAAATGGTTAGGGTTAGTGGGCCACGTGTGTGCTCAGGAGGAGTTAGTAGAGGTGGCGGTTGTAACCTATGCTCTATAGGGGTAATGATGGCCCACGATTTTGGTGATTCCCGAGAAATTTGCCATGATGTTCATGACGTCAGAGATCGTGTATCGAGGGGACGTAACAGTTCCTTTTGCGTGAGATTGTGGATATGTCCTCTCCCATCACCTTTCAGTTTCCTAAACTCGAAGCAGTTGAAGATGGGTTAACTATCAGGATATAGTCGAAGATAAACGGCATCGAATATGGATGCTGTCAAAAAATGTACTTTTTAGTGTCGAAAAACTACATTTTTGGGGGGCAATTTGTTAGCTCACCAATTCGACGATTCATGCTGGAGGCTATCTTTAGCATACTAAAAAAGGTCTACAAGTCTTCCAAGGACTTAGGAAATTGAAGTCTTGAAATTGCATACTTCGACCTAAGCAGGCGAGACGGTCTTCGACCAAGATTTAGAAGAAGGGTCGAAGTGAGTATTTTGAAATTTGAATCTTGGAGGGAGTAGTTATATTTTCTTATGACTAAGTAGGACAAGTGGCTCTCATCGGATGAAGGACTGCATGTGATCTGACACTTGTCAAGAATAGATGGCCTAAGGAGGTTATTAGCGGTTATTAACAGTTACTATTATTATTATTATTATAAATAGGAGTCTTAGACATAGAACTTGTGTGTGTAATTTACTGTGGTACAAGTCACTCTTAAAATTACTCCAAGTATCCGAGTGTAGAGAAAAAGAGTATTATAGAGAATGTACGTGATGTAAACACACCGTCCTTTATCTTTTCAATGAAGTTATTTTGTTTCTTTACTTTTGTCAAATACTTTTATTTATTTGTTACATCTTTCCCTCTCGTTCATCATTACTGTTTCGATTAAGTCCTCCCCTCCCAAAAAGAAACTCTTATATCCTCTTCCCTTAATAATTCTTCGTCCTTCTTCCTTTTCAACTTAGTGGATAATTTCTGCCCCCCTTCGTTAAGTTATTTCTTCTTAGTATTGTTGAAACACATTTCTATATAGGTTCAAATAGAAACACCCTTCAGCACATATCCTAGGATTTCGTATGGTCAATCCTGCAAGTTAGTCAATTTGACACCAAATTGATAGACCAGAGGTTGTTTACCAAAAAACACGGTAAACAGGGGCGTGCCTGGGAAATCTCATTGACACATCCGGGGAAAAGTTCCTCGGGCGCAAATCCCATAATCTCCAAGAGGAAACCACCAAAAAGCTTATAAGCATACCGGAACCAGCGGTTCCCGCCGGCAGCAAATGCCTCCGCGCCGCTACGGTATCAAGATCAACTAAAAGCCTAAAAGTCTCTGAGTCCTAAGTTCCTAAAGGTTTCAGCGGCACCGACAACAGAAGAAAGTGGCCAAACAGTTGTCTGCCACCAACAGCCACCAGAAAATCGCCCTAAGACTACTCAGTTACAATCCTAACCACATGTAATCTAAGAGCCATAAATCATGAAACGTATAACTAACAAGGAATTAGTGTACTTACGTGGTCGAAGACGAATTTCTAGGTTCGAACGGCTTTGGCCGGTCTGGTACAGTGGTCTGTCAAAGCTTGACGGTGGCAGACGGCTAAAAATAGAAACAGAGAGCAAAGGAAGAGAGAGAAGTGAAAATGCAAATGAGATACGTCTCACTCTATTTATAGGCAGTCCCTAACACATACACGCGCAACTAAAGGCATCACCATGACCCTAGCCTAGTCATCATTGCGCATTAAATACATCACACGACTCGAGGCACACATGACACTTCCCCTATTCAGATCCCATCAACCGTTGGTCTTCCCGTACCTCGAGCTCCCCGGCAAGCATCGTGACAGATACCCAGGCATAGATTCCCTCGAGCACAAGGTCCCGGTCCCATCTTTGCAGCTAGCGACGATCTTGCCCGGAACGTGGACTGTTCTTAAGTCATCACTCCCATGCTCGAAAGCAACGACTTGGAAGGGGTTACTGTTTCGGACTAGCCCAATGGCTAGGCATGACCCTTTCCACTTCTGCTCCCAAAGCTAAGTGGGGGAAGAAATTTACCTTCTGCCCTCCAACAGGGGAGGTTGATCGGTTTACCCCTAGGCCAACACTCCTCCTCGACAAGACTTGTCCGTCACGCACAACTCCACCATCTAGAAACAATCAAGACGCTTGTGCCTGTAACTACGCATCTGCCCATAACAACGAATAGTTACAGACACATTTGCCCGTTCCAATGGCTAATTCTGACAGTTACCTATTCTTCGGGAAACAGTTATCTCGCCCCCGAAAATAGGGACAATTGGTCAAGCACTGGGGGCACTATAAAAACCCTTTCATTTGAGAGGGTCAGATATCCAATATTCACCTTGATACACTCATATTCTGTACTTGTCTTCTTTCTCTCAATTCTTACTTTAGCATCGGAGTGCCTTGCAAGTACACCCCCTACTCCTCTCTCACACCCAACATCACAAACGATTGTCTCTGTTCCACTTCAGGTTCTGATCAGCAGTCAAGATCGCATACCTTAATTAAAAAAATGGATCAAATGTAGAAAAACTCATTTCTCAGATCTTTGAAACGAAAGAGAGAATATCTAAAGGGAAGAGATTCTAAGTGTTTAACTCGCTGGAGACGTGGTTACTAAAAAAAAATGGGTCACTTCAAAAAAATTGGGCATGAATTTTTCCGGATTTTTGGTTATTTTGGACATGAATTATGATCTTAATCTTCTTTATTGTGGCTGACTTCAAAAAGTTAGTTTATATATTTTTAATAAAATTTATTTATCATATGGCATACACATGGCTTCCACCTTGACAAAATAAAATTATATCTAGCTATTTCAAATTTTACATAAGTGTCACGTAGGTTATTTCATTGATTTTGTCTAACTGAGTAAACGGAAAGGACTAATGTAACACATTGTGTATGATTGAAGGACCATTTTGACACTTTTAAAATTTAAAGGAGCAAAATAGACTCTAAAATAAAATTAAAAGACTAACAAAATATTTTACGAAATTTAAAATAGAAAGATTAAGTGAATAAAAATTAAAATAAAAAGAATAAAATTGTAATTAAACCTAAAATAAACTATAATTTCTCTAAGACTACTCAAATTAAAAAAAAAGAAAGAAAGAAAGTGATATGGTATCCTCCCAATACTTATTAGATCAAATGCAACGGATGAATATAAATTTGAATCTCTTAAATCTACATCTTGTGAAAGATTATTCAGATCTGTTTTTGGAGATTTCATGTGAGGCTTTGCCACAAACCTTGGTACTCATAACTCTCTCCATGTCGAACTAATGGCCATTACATTGACAATTGAACAAGCAACTACTAAAGGTTGGAAGTCTTTCTAGATTGAGATAGATTCTGAGTTTGTAATTTTGACTTTTAAAAATCCTAACATTGTTCTTTAGGAGCTAAGCTACAAATGGTACATTTATTTCTACGAGATAAAATCCATCAATTTTGTTATTATATATATATATATATATATATATATATATATATATATATATATATATATATATATATATATATATATATATATATATATATATATATATATATATATATATATATATATATATATATATATATATATATATATATATATATATATATATATATATATATATATATATATATATATATATATATGGGAAGAAGAATTATTGTTCGGATATCAACGCTAATTATTTTCTCAATACATAAGTTTTATATAAAATAAAAAACTATAATTTCTCTTTCTCATATAAAAAAGTATTATACATAAAAGAAAAACTACATCTTCAGAGTTTATTAAAGATGCAACATCAATATTAAATAGTTCTACATCAACATCAAATAAAAATTTATGATACTATTATGTAAAGTTATTTTGTAACTACACAAAATATTTTAAATTCAATGAAAAATTACTTTACACCTTATAAAGGACAAACTTAGATGCATTATTTAAATATTATTCGTTTGATTCTCAAATTGGAATACATTTTCTTAATAATTATAACAAAATTTAAAAAAATAAATATGAATTTAAGACAATTATAAATAAAACTTATATTAAGAATCATACGAAAAACACCATAAAAATTCCATTTTAATTTTTCTTGACTAATTTTGACTAATTTTTAAAATATTTTTTGCATTCTGCTTTACAGCAAGACCGTGAAAGTGAAAACCTTTCTTTCAAATTTCAAATCAAATCAACCAAATTCACAAAACCCTTCTCTCTCATTTCTCTGTAACTTCTCCTTCACCTTCTTCTTTCTCTCTCTACAAAATCCTAGAGAGAGAAACAACCATCACCAGCAAGATCAAAACCATTCTCAGATCTCTTCTCAATTTGTAACCAAAACCGCTATTTACTACAACATCTTGAAATTCAATGGCGAACAACCAGAATCTGAAGCCTCTGATCTACGCATTCGTTTCTAGAGGAACTGTTATCCTCGCTGAATTCACTGAATTCAGTGGTAACTTCAACTCCATCGCGTTTCAGTGCCTTCAGAAGCTTCCTTCTACTAACAACAAGTTCACATACAACTGTGATGCTCACACTTTCAATTACCTGATCGATAATGGTTACAGTACGTACGTTATTCCCTTCGATCTAGTGCTGTTTTTGTACTCATCGCTTTTGTTTCTATGCTCAATTGCTTATGTCGATTGTTACATTGCATATTTGTGGTTTCTCAGAATTGCTGTATGTAAACCCTAAATCTTTTGATCATTGTGTGGTTTAACTTTTTTTTCATCAGACTTTTCTGTTTTGCATAATTTTTAATCTTTGTAGTGTTGCTGTTGGGATTGGTAGAAGCAATTAATCATATGCTAGCGTGTGTTGGACAATGGATTTAGTTTTTGTATGTGTGTTCTATGGAATTTGAATTGGACATGTAAAAGCCGAAGATCTACCACATGGGTCATGCCTTTATGTTAGTCGCGCATGGATTGGTAGAAGTGATGAGTCATATGCTAGCATGTGTTAGACAATGGATATAGTTTTTGTATTTGCGTTGTATGGAATTTGAATTGGATGTGTAAAAACAGAAGATCTGACCACATGGGTCAAGTCTTTATGTTAGTCGCGCAATGCCATGCTCCTCTTAATGTTAGATGAGGTTACAAATCATCTATCTTGGGTTTTTATTCATTAGTCGCTGTTTTTATTATTGCTTTTTCTTGTAATGTTGACGCTTAATATGTTGTTTGCCTTGAAATTGGGAAAGAGAGGTTGAGTTTTTGATAACATAAAACTTATACAAAAAGTGAAACAATGGAATAACTTCAATGTATCTAGCATCATGCTTGTCTGAAAACATATAAAACTAATAGGCAAAAAGTGAAACAAGGGAATAACTTTAATGTATGCTAGCATCATGCTTGTCCGGTGTAGGTAATCTACGACGTTTATGATTTTAGAGGTTGCCTTTTAAATTGTAAATTTATCAACTGATAATGCTTTTGTTGATGTTGCTGTGTTTGTTAATCGGTGATATTTAGAAGAAATATCTGACTATTGGGATTTGCAGCATATTGTGTTGTTGCAGATGAATTAACTGGAAGACAGGTTCCCATGGCCTTTCTAGAGCGTGTCAAGGATGATTTTGTGTCAAAATATGGTGGTGAAAAGGCTTCCACAGCTCCTCCCAACAGCCTTAACAAGGAATTTGGGTATTAACATTCTGTTCTAAACTTTTGAAGTTTAAGCTGGTGAGTTTATATTGTTATTTTGGCTCATATGTTAACCTCTCCGCACAGGCCAAAATTGAAGGAACATATGCAGTACTGTGTTGATCATCCCGACGAGATAAGCAAGCTTGCAAAGGTGAAAGCTCAGGTTTCTGAAGTTAAAGGTGTCATGATGGAGAATATTGAAAAGGTAGAGAAAAACTCAAATTATTTTGGTCAATATTTCATCATGTTCATGCATTTGTACTTATGAAGTATTGATATTGATATATGTTCTACGAGATCAACTCAGGAATTCCAGGTGTTAACTGTTAGTCTTTGGCATCACTACATGTAGATATTATTTTTCATTACATTTTATATACACTGGTGTAGTTATGTTTGCAGTGTCTAAAAGGCTTATAATGAACCTAAACTTATGTTACAAATCTTCAAATAAAACTGACGAAAAAAGGTTATGCTTAAATTAGTTGATTCAAACTCCTCCTTAGTTTTGTGAAAAAAATATAATTAATTATAAGTTTAAATAAATGGAAAAAAGAAAATCAACTTCAAATGTTTTATGTAGCACATATTAATGGTATTTATTTTATAATAGGGTAAGATTATAAAGTATGATGGAATTCATGAATGATTATTCCATCAACAGTATACAGTGTTGGGATCTAGTTACTCTTAGGGCGGGTCTTTTCTACCATTCTGTTTAATGGTTTTCCATTGAGTATAAATTAAACAAATCCATCTATTGATTTGAAACTCCATGTTCATACTAGACCAGGATTTTAAAATTGGTTAATCTGTCATAGCACAACTCTATTTTAACCTATAATATACTTGTTTTACATGTAATGAAAAATTGACTATAAGATTACAAAATCATGAATGCTTGATTTGTTTGAAATGTGACATACATGATCATATTTACAACTTGATTTGATGATTGAATTTGTTAAGTTCATATCCTACAAAGTCATCACTATGTATTGGATTCACTATTATATAATAAACATATCAATACATTTTCATGTATGGTTTTTATCTCTTGTATTATTTATTATACACACAATTTCACATGAAATTTCTGTTTGTTCAAGATGTGAAAATTTATCCCTATGGTTTATGTTTTGATGTATGAGATTGTGTGTAGTTTTATTTACAGTTTTCATTTTCATAAAATACAAATAATTGTATATTTGCTTAGTTTGATTCTTGGATGATTTACTTACCTTACCTGCAAGAATTTTTTTTGATGGACGTGCTTGTGAACATAGTTCCTTCTCTTTTCTGACATTTAATTTTTTAAATAACAACTGTTAAAAGATAAGAAGAGAAGAGAAAATAGTTGTGATATGTATTGATGACACAGTCATATTGATTAATGTATGTATGCGTGATCTAAAGTCAGTTTTAATTCATCATTTGATTCAAATCAGAGGCTTGCTAAATATTCTCAAATCGCATGGTTTGAATCACAAATCTTGTGACTTTAATATCTAACTGTCAATCAGTCACGTGTTTATAATTTATGTAGGTTCTAGACAGAGGAGAAAAGATAGAGCTTCTGGTGGACAAGACTGATAACCTTCATCACCAGGTTAGTATGTAGTTTATGTGCAGCTGCCTGTTCCCTACAGTATGCCGTAGTCTGCATTGGCAGACTGAAGTTTATCATAAAAATTGTACTCAGAAATGAGATTTCTCTTTTGGTGTCTTGGTTCTTTTGAAGTGGATGCTAAGTTGTGCGCTGCTACTATAGAAATCTTCCCACTTTATTATCTCTCGGACAGTCACGCCCACTCCCGACATCCACTCTTCCCACTTTGTGTTTATAGAATATATGTGTGTGCAACTTCCCGTTTTTTTTTTTGTACAAGTACATCGACAAGAAACCCATTTTTTCTTTCCTTTTTCAAACCAATTAAACCTGCTGGTATTAATATAATTTTGTAGTCTATATCTTCCATTTTTCTCTTTCCCTTTCTCGCTACCATTATGGTAACTCTCTTTTACATTTTTCAAATCTGTCTTGCAAAAGTCCTGAAAATCATTTTCGGGGCAGTAGTAAGCATGTTCTTCAATGCTTCCTTCTTCGATCTGGATGCAGCGTTCTCTATCTCAACGAAAACTTTTTGTTATTTGAGGAAGAGATTCCTCCTCAAACCCCTAATTCCCTTAGTTTCCTTTTTAGGAATGGTAAGGTCGTTTGGTGGTTTGGGGGGAGGTATATAGGGGTTGGAATGTAAAGAAGGTCATGAGTTCAATTCCTCCCGCTAACAATCAACATTTGTCCATTTAAAAACATCCACAATCCCCTTCTTGGCCTTCTTCACCAAGCAATTGGACAAGCAAATCACATCCTTTGCATACTATGAAAAAGCCTTAGAGAAAAGAGAGAAAGTGTTGCATGTGTCATTTCATTTGAGTTGCTGTATGTTATTTGTATCGGTTTTGTGCAGATAATTTAACATCCATCATTCTCTGTCTCATATAATCATATGTTGAATTTGCTTATAGTTATAGAATCTTAATAGTTTACATCAGCATGGTGGTTATTAGAATTTGATGGCATACTAAAAACGTAGTTCAAATTCACATTTTCACATTTCTGTTTCCAGTATAGTTTTGTTTATGGATGGATTGTGGTAGCATGATTTTATATATTTTTTCTTTCAGGCACAAGATTTCAGGAGTTCTGGAACCTCGATACGTCGAAAAATGTGGCTACAAAACATGAAGGTCAAGCTGATTGTATTGGGAATTTTGATAGCCCTGATCCTCATAATAGTCCTTTCCGTGACTCGGGGTTAAGCACCATTCTGTGGTATTTTATTGTTATTCCAATGTTGTGATATCCCAGAGGTAAGATGTCAATGTTTGGCATATGTTTGTATGTAATAGAGATTACAAATCCCGTGAAGTTTTCACCTTGCTTTTCTTTAGAACATAGCTTTTGAATATAAATTGGTTTGTCTGTTTGAAGTTTGATTTCCATTCACACCATTCATTTTGATATTGTCATCAATCATGTAAATTGTTTCCTTTGTGATCTTATTTAATATTTTCCAATCTATCATTTTTTTTTTCCTGTTAAACTTTGAATGCTAATTGGCTCTGTGGCTTTTTGTACACTACACAAGCATGTAGAAACTCGCGTATATACTTAAAAGTGTTCATGACTCGATTAGATATTAAAGAAGACTTTGTTTGCTGTTATTTTCCCAAAATTTCCAAATCAGAGATTATTTTATATCTTACAATCAGTGGTTTGTCTGCAAAGATTATTTCATATCTTACAATTCTAACATAGAATTGTTCATGCTGAGATTAAACTCGGATAAACCTAATCGAAGTGATTTATATCACGTTTTAATGCATTAATCATCGGTAACAATACAATGTTACATTAGTATAGAGCAACTATTCAACCAATAAAGAATGACTAATACTACCTTGTGATCCAAGTTTAAAACTACTTTGGTTAATATCCCTTGTGTCCTAATACTCCAAAGCTATGGAGATGGAAACAATAAAGTAAAGGGATTCATTCTTAAATTGTCTAGTAAGCCATTAAGAATAATAAGATAGATACTATGTATGGAAAACAGTGATTGAACGGAGATTGAAGAGAGATCTAAGTTACTGATAATCAAGTTATTGATTATTGATAGGAAGCTTGATCTACTTATTATGATGGAGTGGTTTCAGAAGGATAAAAAAACACTTACATTTTCATTGATTTGCATTCGGTGTGTGATAGTAAGAGATTTTGTGGAAGATCTAGAGAAGAAAGAGGTTAACATTCTTTATATTGGCACGATCAAGATGTATGAGGGGGTCTCGACTAGTGTATGAACACATGCAAAATACAAACGATTTTCCAATAACAATAAGTTGAACTAAATTTCAATCCTGACCCTTTATTTATTTATTTATTTATTTATATTATATTATATTATATATATATATATATATATATATATATATATATATATATATATATATATATATATATATATATATATATATATATATATATATATATATATATATATATATATATATATATATATATATATTTTTACTTTTCTTTATTATGTACTTATAGAACACAAGCATACGATGTATATTCTTTATAGATGATATAATCTAAAATGAAGAATTGAGGGAGGAATTAGATGGAAGGTTGGTGAGTTTTAGAAGTGTATGCTTTTTGTTTGAGTAGAAGTTAAACAAAATATTTGCAATGTAATTTTAGCAAATGGAAAAATGTTTCTAGTTTGGAGGTTAAAGTTGGAGATTATATCATACCACAAGTTATGTAATTTAGATATGTATTGGTAAAAAAGTTCAGGTGTGTGTGGTATTCCTAAATTAGTAGGGGATATTTAGAGGCCTTAATAGGTTTATAATAGTTTAGGGTGGTAGGCATTTGTTCGCGGCGGTGAAAAGTCATGTATGGTGGTGTTACGCTGTTTACGGTTATTTGAGAAGGCAACTCATATGAGGTAAGAGGCATTGTATACAAGCGTGTTACCTATATATATATATATATATATATATATATATATATATATATATATATATATATATATATATATATATATATATATATATATATATATATATATATATATATATATATATATATATATATATATATATATATATATATATACACACACACATACATACACACACATACAAATGTAAGGCATTATTTTATGGGACATGAACCCTGTGTCGCCCTTGTTTGGTAATTTTCACAAATATGACACTACATAGTCCATCAAGCACAATGGTTTGTAAAGGGTGAAATGCTTTAAGTCTCCTTTCTAGTTTCACCCTACAGTATAAGGTGAGACTTTCAATTAGAGGCAGGTTCAATATTTTGGGACGCGACCCCCTTTAGATGGGAGACGAGTCCCTCAGTCGAAGGCAAACCTTTTAATTGGAGGCGAGTTCTTCAGCTGGAGGGCGAGTCCCTCAGCTGAAGGTAGTCTTTTTAAAGGAAGGTGAGTCCTTCAGCTTGAGGGAAAATCTCTCATTTTTATTGGCATAAGTCTCCATAATTAGGGGACGAGTCACCACTCCTTGCCGGATGTCTCATCATTAACCAGGATGTTAGTTAGAAATGCCAATTAGTCATTTGATGGTCATGTTTACTTCAATTTAAAGAAAGTAATGATGAACTATTTTTCGAAACCTTAAACGCTAATGACACGTGCCAAAAGTGTGATAACGTTTTCAAAATTTTGGGGACCCTAAAAGGTTCCTTGCGGCTTTAGCTTGCTTATAAAACCTTATTTTTCAACTTCCTTTGCTTTATTTTGTTCCCATGTCTTCTGCAAGCTCTTTTGACCTGCAAAACTTCTCTACACCCTCCCTGATTCTTCGTTCACAATCTACTCAACTATGAATTTCTTTTTCTTTCCCTTCCTTCTATAGTAGTTATGAGTAGGGTTTTATAAAGAAATGTTTGAAATAAGGTTTAGGTTAATGTAAAGTTATAGCTTTAAGGGTCATATTCATATCCTTTGAGGTCTGCGACGACGATGTTGATTTCTTTTTGTTCTTATGTATTCCCAGGATCGAAAAGACAATGTTTGCCCCTTCCGTCATGCCTAAGGACGCCGAGGACATTGATGTTTACTATATCTTTGACGAACGAATTCTTTCTTTTTCGAACAGAAATGGGGGTTTCTTCCTTAGAAGATAAAGAAATGGTTATCTTGAAGGCTTGTTCAATACTCGAAAGAGTGACCATGTTTGTCTCTTCTGATCTTTTCTCCCTTTATTTCTACTTTTACCTCCCCCTCTTCAAGCATATGAGGGTTCTATTTCCCTTTTCCTCTTTCGCCATGGAGGTTCTGAGGGTTCTCAATGTCGCGCCCTCCCATATGTTTCCCAATAGTCGGGGTTTTATTAGAGCCTCTGAGATGGTTTGTGAAGAGTTGGATATTTCTCCTACTATTGGAGTTTTTTCTTCTCATTTTACACTACCAGACCTGCGAAAAATGATTGGGTGTCTTTAGGCAGTCTACTGGGGAAAACCTCTTTTACTCCTCACTCCAACCACTACAATAATTGGAGAGATTGGTTTGCCCACATGAAGGGGAAATGATTCTCGTGTAGTGTTGGGGGCTGATGGTGCCCCCGTGGAGATTTCAAGATATGAACGTAAATACCTTACCTTTAAAAGGTAAGGATAATTCGCCTCTTGGGAAAGTTTGAGGTTATGGACTCACACACAATAAGTTCTTTGTGGCTGAAAAGATGACAATCATTTCACTAATTACCTATGTGAGTTTTGGAGAACTTGTTTCTTTTATAGGAATTTTCAAATAGATCATGTGACCAATATGCATTGTTTTGTAAATCCAATGACAGATTTTTGTAGAGGAAACGGGGAAAAAATGGGAGAAGATTCAGGCTGCTCATGGGGAAACTGATAGCCGCCATATTCATCCATAGGGATTTATCATCAAAGGAATAAAAATACAAGCTGAGGACCCAACTCGCAGTTCGCCAAATGTTTAGGCCCAGAGGTTGGAAGAGGACTCCTCATAGGCTAGTGGTAACGGCTCGCCTGTTGCTGGAGGGGTTCATGAGGGCAAGGCTTCACCGCCTCCTCCTACTTTGTGGAGTGACAAAGGCTTTAATATTCTTTAATTTATGAGTTTTCATATACTTTTCTCCAAGGAGTTTCCCTGTGACTACCAGGCCCACGAATCTATTTCAACTCCCGTAATCATAAGCATGAAGGATAACCTTCTAATGAGGGCGTTAATGTTGGAGGATGTCGACTGAAAGAAGATAGTTCAAGTTGAGAAGGAGATTTAGGTGAAGCTCCATAAATATATGAATGGTTATAATGAAAGTCAAAGGTTGTTGAAGGTGTAACACCCCAAAGATTATGGGAATATTTAATTTAATTTATTTAAATGAGAATATTCGCATTTTGGTGATTTTCGGTGGTTTTGTGAAATATTGGGAATTAATGGAATTTGAGTTATTTATTTTGAATAATAATATATAATATGAATATATTAATATTATTATTAATTAAAATAAATATAAGTGAAATAAGGGCAAATTAGACAATTAAAAGGAGTTAGTGAGGATAATATGGGAAAAGCCCAATTGTGAGGCCCAAGTCTAGGTTTAACAAAAAGGAAATTGTGATGGAATTAGGATTCATTTGTTAGACCGTGAGGAGAATTGAGACCAAAGCTCTGAGAAGGAAGATTGGAGGCAAAAGCTTCTGAGGATTCTCGGAAATATTTAAGAAGGATTTGATCGACAATTAAGGTATGAGGAGTATTGCCTTCACAATTTTCAATGTGTAAATTCAACGTATTTAAGGTCGGTTTAAGGGTTTAAGGGATTTTGGGGTTGATTGTGAGAAAAAGGGATTTTAGGCCTTCGTGGCAAAAACTCTGATTTGACATTGGTCTAACCCTGTAGGGAAATTTGATAGTGAGAACTCTGATAGTTGTGGTGTAGTGGTAAGTATTCCTGAGAGTTTGAGGGTAGATATGAGAAATAGTGATCTTTGTTCTTCGTGGCCTAAGTCTATTATTAGTGAATCTAACCGTGGTTCATTGGGGAAAAAGGAAACCTTAGGCCTTCGTGGTTAAAACTATGATTTGAACCTGTCTGATCCTGAAGGGATAGGAATATTAGACAGTGAGTAACTCTGATGCCTTAGGGGAAATTGTAGAAAAATTTGTGATTTAGGGCGTAAATATGATACGAGATTGAACTTATATCCCTTAATTTTAAAGGTTTTAGGCATAATCTTAAAACAA